GAAACTGATTAACTAAAGTCAACTGTGACAGCATTCAAAGGAATACAAGATAACCATCAAACGTTGTACACCTGTGAATCCTTAAATAAATATTGCCTTGACCACTTCTTTATAATTAAGACTCATGTCAATTTATTGAGAAGATTTACCTCAGAAGAGGGCAGCTGAAGATATTGGAAGAAAGGATTCTGGTTGGGGTAATGAGTTACTCTTTAAAATATTGCCTCAAGTAAAAACATTTCAAAAGTCAAGCCTCAGCAACATGCACCAGTATTACTTTAGTCTCCGTATCACCCTGGTTATATATACATATTTGTCATTTGTTCCTTATATTTTACAAGAATGAAAGAAGTGTAGATTTATACCCGTAAGACACAACTCAGTGGTTCAACAGTATACTATATATTAGAAGAGTAGGGCAGGCACGATAATAGCTGGCATCTCCAGAGTTGATAAAGCCTCTTGCATGAAGTCCTAGAGAACTGAGACCATTGAGAATGAAACAAGAATTGGCTAGTTAGATCCGATCTTTTGACACAAATCCCTTTAATCCAGTGGTTCTCAACCTGTGGGTCCCCAGGTGTTTTGGCCTACAACTCCCAGAAATCCCAGTTAGTTTACCAGCTGTTAGGATTTCTGGGAGTTGAAGGCCAAAACATCTGGAGACCCACAGGTTGAGAACCACTGCTTTAATAAGTGCTTCTTATGGCGGGAGGGGTGCAGGAGGATGTTGTTTTATCTTTATGTCCATAAACCAGGACAAAATCTTTACCATATGTGACCAAATCCGAAGCCCGGAACAGCAGTTGTGAAAGGCAAACATATCCACAGGGCAATCCCCATTATTTTCATCCATTTGTGACATGTTTGCTTTCTTAGACAGAAACATCATATCTCTGTCTCACTTCAAATGTCTACCTTCACAATCTTTTGTAGGCAAGATTTTTTTTTTTGTCCAACTCAATGTTGCTTCTGTAATTTCTAGAGATAGTATCACTCTTATAGATTTTTGTACATTTAAAAAATGGGGGAATGTATAATTCAACCTATGCTAAAATTGTTTACAATCTATTCCAAGGTTTGGTTGTCAGCCTCTTGGAATAAACCAAATTTACTCCTAGTAATTCACAAATTACTGAATAAGTAGCAAATTTTCTGAATATCGTTATGCCCCAACTGATTTTTAATATTTTAAATATTATGGGAATATTGAATATAATTTCATTTTTTATAGACTTCCCCTTTTCAAGGTATTCTGTATTTTTATTTTATTACTTAACTACATGGCCATTAATGACATTGCTTGCCTCATCTCTTAGGGTTGAGTTTATAAAACCTAAAGCAGAGGGGAAAAACACCTCTACTCTCATAGGTTATCTTCTTTGAAAACTAAGCAGGTTCTCTGAAAAATTGGATAAAAGCAAACGAATATCTCCCACAGTTCATTTATTTACCACTACTGTTCTGAGTAGCCAGAAGGGAATACTGAATGTGTTCTGGAGCCCATTCTGTGTTTACTGTGCACAATGAAAAGGCCCAGCATTATTCCTTGTAGACAGTTTGACACCCATTATTTTACCCCAGAAACCTCTGCAATGCGTAGGGACTTCTAGATGTGAAAATAACATGTAAGCCTTCTCCAGTCACATGTTTAGAAAACTGTGTAATCTCAATTTTTTTTGTCATGTCAGGAGTGACTCCTGGTGTGAGAGAATTGGCCATCTGCAAGGACGTTGCCCAGGGGATGCCTGGATGATTTTGATGTTTTTTATCATCCTTGTGGGAGGCTTCTCTCATGTCCCCGCACGAGGAGCTGGAGCTGATAGAGGGAGCTCATCCACCTCTCCCCGGATTCGAACCTGCAACCTGTCAGTCTTCAGTCCTGCCGGCACAGGGGTTTAACCCACTGCGCCACCGGGGGCTCCTGTAATCTCAATGTATCTAGGAAACAAAAAAATAATCAAGGAAGTTGTTAAGGAGAATATTAGGAAAACCATTTTTGAGCTGTGGGAACTACTACTTTTCTTTTTTGTGCTGCAGCAGTAAACTCATTGGGCACTTTAAAGACCAGAGTCACATACTTCAGTGAAGAAGTTGTGTGAACATTTGGTACATGGGAGAATTTAAGTGCTCCAATTTTATATGTCTTTTGATTTATCAGCATTGTCCTCTTGACTGAAGATCGTAAATAACAAAAACTCTTCTCATTTGGCTGAATGCTGAGATGCTTGAGATGAAGCTCAATCTACTTACCTCTTTTGCCCGCTGTACTCAACTGCTTTGAAATGGTGGTAGTGATAGGCAGGACTTCTACAGGTCATGTTGACTATTTACCATATCACACTAAAATTCAGAAGCATCAGTCCGCATTGCCCTATTGCCCAGTTTGCTTTTGCAGAATTCTGGGGTTGGCATTTTAGGGAAACCAAATTATTCTCTGCTTAAATTTCAAAGAATTCCAAAGATCCCACCCTAAACGACATATCCCAGAATCCTACAGAAGCAAACCTGGCAATAAGAAGACACAAACCTCTTGTTTTATGTCAGACTGGTGATTGTGTCTAATGATCAGGTTGCTTTGGATGATGGGAATCACAATATTGTTCATGTTCAAGTTGATTCCTCCGTTGGGAATGAGGGTCCTGTCCATGAAGATGTTCCTGAAGGGAATGGGGATGATGGTCTGTTTCCTGGACCTGGTTTTATAGGTGTGGGCCTGAATGCAGTTCAGTTGATGGCTTAGAGAGGCCTATATTTCTGCAAAGGGATTCTCAAGGTTGTGAGCCCGGGAAAGGATTAGTCCCTGGACAGTTATCTCCAGGTGCAGATTTTTATGAAGCCTCAAACAGAAGAAGTGCTTTTAGCCAGCAAAGCCAAACAAATCAGAAATTAAGGCGCTCAGCTAGATTAGAGCAGAAGGTAGAAGTGAAACCAAAATCCAGGAAAAATCCATTCTTAGCTGTTTGGGAAACAAAGTAGACATATAAGTGCCAAGTACTGAGTCTAGCTTCAGATGAAGCAATGTTGGATTCATGATAAGTTCTTCATGCCAAATTCCTGGACTTTTGTCTTTGTTTGATTCCTGTTTTAAGTGCCTTTGCTGTTATTTTGCCTTTGAAATCAAGCCTCTGGTTTCATGGACTTCTTTGGCCTATTTCTCTTTGGATTAATTGCTCTCTTTACTTCCTAATCAATTGGATTTACCTTTCATTGTGGATTACTTTTTATTGCTTTGGCTTTTATTACTCTCAATAAACTGCTTGTTATTTTAACTCAACCGTGTGATGTTTAAAGTCAGAGGGAATCCTGCTCTGAAGAGCACCACCTCTGTTGTATAATGCTAATATGATCTCGTCCTATGACTCACTCCTCTCTTCAGCCACCAGCATTTATTTTCCTTCTGATATCTCTTTGAGTGGTTGTGAATCATCATCACATATTGTCAAGAAAGTGTCTTATAGGGGAAAAATATAAATGGGGTTCCCATTTTTTCTGTGAGCAATATTCAATAAAGCTTCTCAAGTGCAGTCAGGGTTATTTATTTATTACATTTATAGCTGCCCTTCTCACCCTGAAGGGGACTCAGGGCAGCTCACATAAGCCCCCCACACCCAAAATCCCCCCTAAAAAAATCATCAAACCCAAATTTCCCCTGTTTGCAGGTCACAAATGGGGGCTGGTTGTCATTTCCCCCTTTGCTTAAAAACACAGTCAGTCAGTCATAATTTATTATGTTGTTTGTGGTGGTGTTGGTGATGATGATCCTGGTTTTCCTCCAAAATTGGGACTTCAAAGTAGCTAATAATAATAATAATAATAATAATAATAATAATAATAATACTTTATTTGTACCCCGCTACCATCTCCCAAGGGACTTGGTGCGGCTTACATGAGGCCGAGCCCACAATACAACAATAAACAATAACAGCAATAATACAAAAACAATACATAAAACTCATAAGCAAAATAAGCAAAAAAACATTAACAATAACACAACGCATTTAAAAATCTATGGCTGGGCCAAATGTAATAATTAAAATTTTAAAAATAATGCTGGGCCTGAACAGGTAACATGTAATTGAGATAGAGGTTTTGGAGAGGGAAGAAATGTGCAGACAATCTTAAGTCATTATTAAAGTACGTTTAAGAACATATTGCTGGGAGTTTCCTTATTCTGGGAAGGCACACTGAAACAGACACATTTTCAGGCTCCTCCTAAAGACTGCCAAAGTAGGGGCTTGCCTAATGTCCCTGGGGAGTGAGTTCCAGAGTCGAGGGGCCACCACCGAGAAGGCCCTCTCCCTCATCCCCACCAATTGTGCTTGCGATGGTGGTGGGAGCATGAGCAGGGCCTCTCCAGATGATCGAAGAGATCGTGTGGATTCGTACACAGAGATTACATATAGAACAATATAAACGTCCCCTACCTTTTGACACCTTAATTTCTGATGACTCACTCTTTCAATGCTTGCAAATTAGAAATAAATTTTATTAATTTGATGAGGGGTCCATTCTTTCAGTTCTTACCAACAAAGCTCCCTAGGGACTGTTTGTGCACCCATGCACAATTCCAAGGCTTGCCTATGGAAAGGGCAAGCCCTCATTGAATCACGTTTGCATGCAAGCAAAAACCTCGTTTGGTTTATTACATTTTTCAGCAGCCAGAATACATTCGCAAGCTAAAAAAAACCTGTGCTTTACTTTTCAAACGACTCTACTTGTGCTCTGGACCCTAAGTCGCTAGATAAATGATGTCTTCCTATAGAATGAAAAGCATAAAGAATGTAAATATTACATTTTTCAGCAGCCAAAATACATTTGCAAGCTAAAATAACCTGTGCTTTACTTTTCAAACTACTCTACTTGTACTCTGGACCCTAAGTCGCTAGATAAAGGATGTCTTCCTATAGAATGAAAAGCATAAAGAATGTAAATATAGAATTTAATATAAAAATGCAATTAAACTAATTACAATATTAAAACAGTACTCTTGTTTCTAGTTGCAGGCTGAACTTGATCAAGAATACCAAGACAAATTCAAAAGACTCCCACTGGAAATTCTGGAATTTGTACAAGAAGCAATGAAAGGCAAAATTAGTGAAGATGGCGACCACAGCTCTACCACTTCTTCCCTCACATCCGATGGTGGAAAACTGAACCATAAACCACTACAAAATGAGGAGCTGGAGGATAATCCAGGAAAAGTGTTTGATACCCCTCTCTAACTACTCCTGCAAGACCCATTCCTAAATTACTGTGGCAGAGAATGTCACCATTGTGCTCCCTGGATTATCTTCTCTGTGTGAATGACCATTGGACAGCATCACATCTAGAAGACCTCTGTTGGGATGGCTCACATTTCCAAAACAAGTGGTCAGTGAGGATTCTATATGTTGTCTGTAACCCTTCTTTGTTTATTAGGTGAAGGAAATAGACGAATTGGCCAGTGCAGCCCTTTCTGTGGCCACTTTTATTAAAATGGTTTTCCATTTGGGTGCAGTTGGAGCTTCCTTTGGGGACCAGAACATGTTGTGCAGATACAACTGCACAGACCTTCTTGTGAAGCAGCAATGGGAAGAATAAATAATTACACACAACAATCATAACATCCTTAACTTGATGTTTCCTCCTTCCTGCACCCTGGAAACATCTACCATCTTAATTGCACTGATTTTTAAATATGTGGTTCTTTATTTTTATGTTTGCTTTGCAAGCATCAGCAGCTTGCTTTGTTGACAATGTACCAGAGAATGAATCTACTTTGAGATGTTCTACTGAAACTGTGGTAATGAGCCTAAGTTCCCAAACTGAAATCTCTTCAAGGAGTAAATGTTTTATGTGAGTTTCATCTGTGATGCGAATTCACTTTAGGGATGGGACGTCTATTTTAAAACTATCCGAAGAATGAGTTTATCAAATTGGGGAAAATCCTGATGAGGACAATCCTTGATAGGGGAGAATATTTGCAGTTCAGGACTTAATCTGCATGAAAATGTGTATGTATGTATGTGTTTTAGGCAGTAAAAAACATTTTGTGCAGAAAACATTTTTGTGTAAAAACACAGAATGTTTTGCATAATATAAGTTTTCTTTGAAGAAAACAAGCTTCCTGCAAAGCAAATCCCATTTTCTGTACAAAGAAAGCATATCTTTCAAATCAAATATGGTTTTCTTTGCAAGAAATGTGTCTCACAATGCAGGAAAAGTCAAGATTATTTTTGCACTAGATAATCCCTGAATTGCAAATGGTCGTCTAAAACTATCAAGTTTCAATGTCTTTCTTGCAGCAAGAAGAAGGAGCCCCCGATGGCGCAGTGGGTTAAACCCCTGTGCTGGCAGGACTGAAGACCGACAGGTCGCAGGTTCAAATCCGGGGAGAGGCGGATGAGCTCCCTCTATCAGCTCCAGCTCCTCATACGGGGACATGAGAGAAGCTTCCCACAAGGATGATAAAAACATCAAATCATCTGGGCATCCCCTGGGCAACGTCCTTGCAGACGGCCAATTGTGTGCTGGCAGGACTGAAGACCGACAGGTCGCAGGTTCAAATCCGGGGAGAGGCGGATGAGCTCCCTCTATCAGCTCCAGCTCCTCATACGGGGACATGAGAGAAGCTTCCCACAAGGATGATAAAAACATCAAATCATCCGGGTGTCCCCTGGGCAACGTCCTTGCAGACGGCCAATTCTGTGCTGGCAGGACTGAAGACCGACAGGTCGCAGGTTCAAATCTGGGGAGAGGCGGATGAGCTCCCTCTATCAGCTCCAGCTCCTCATATGGGGACATGAGAGAAGCTTCCCACAAGGATGATAAAAACATCAAATCATCCGGGCGTCCCCTGGGCAATGTCCTTGCAGACGGCCAATTTTCTCATATCAGAAGCAACTTGCAGTTTCTCAAGTCGCTCCTGACACGACAAAAAAAAAGCAAGAAGAAAAATTAAATTTATTCTTGCTTCAAGAATGAAATTTATGAGGATATACATCTGCATAGTTCATACAGATGTATCCAAATAAATAATAAATACCCCCCTCTGTAGAAATAGAGCATGGACATCCTTGTTGGGCCTTTCTATGTGGTGAAATGGAAAGATTCAGGGATATGGACTAATATAGTGACAACAAATTTGAGTCACTATAAAGCAATTGTTAACTTTTAACTTTAGTTTAAAAAAAAGACATTTATGGACTTAAGCACATTGTTTTCAGTTATCATTTCTGGGTACATCGTGTGATCTAATTATTTTTAAATACTTATCAACTATAATATTGATACGAAGACATCTCTTCCATAGTTGTTTTATTAATATTATTTTTACTGTGGTGTGCATGTGGGAAATGTCATCTCCAAAATGTATATAAAACAGACATTTCAGAGCTGGAATCTTTGTGAAAATAAAAGGAAATACTGAAACAAAAGGACGTGGAGGGTGAAGACTTGAGTTCTAATCCTGAAATTTATTTATATGGAAAGATTATAGCCCCTCTGAACTCAATAGATTTATGTGGTGGATAACACTGAAACACTAAAAAGAAATTCTGAGTAAATACTTTAATATGTAATAGCATATATGTAGTTAGCTTTCCCTCAGGAGTTCAGCAAAATAACTTATTTTATTTAAATGTAAGCAATAATAGAGATCAAACTTCAAGTTAAGTGATATGTGTACATAGGGAAATTAAAGCTTTGGCTAAGCAGTATTTTTTTTTTTGTTCTTAATATACAGCACGCACGAAGAAATGTTCCACAGTGTTGGAAGAGTACATAAAAGACATGCACTCTGCTTACAATGTGTGGAGTAATTAAAGGGTGTAACTAACTTTCATTTTGATTTTAAGAGTATGACGCCTGTCATTTATTCTACTTTTTGCACTTTGAAGATCAATATTATTAATCATTAAATAAAAAAAACCTGGAAGGGTCAATGTTTAATGCTGCATTTTATAAGATAAGGGTTCAATAAATTTGTTTTAAGTTAGATGGGATACAATAATAGCAGTATTCATGAAAATTATGAGACTATTTCTCTGATGTGTGCTTGTATAGTGCAGCTACAAATACGTTAGGAGAAATTGTAAGGAGCTTTTTAATTTGAGAAGTACAAGTGAATGGTTGACAGAGTCTATTAGCAGTTGTGGTTGGTTTTCAGTACATATGTATTTGATCATTGACTGTACTTACTTTTTTAATATCTGTACAGTGCCCCTTTTTTGCAGTTGTAGTTTAGTGTGTAATATTGTATATCTTGCCTTGTTCAAACTTACGGTGATATTATCATTTACCATTAATATTACTTGAAATAAAGTAAGGTAATGAAAATAAAGGAGTCTATGATTGTGAAAGTTGTGTGCCTTTTATGTATTTGCCTTGTTGTGTGTTGAACGTATGGAAGTAATATACCATGGACATTTTGGCTTAGAGAATAGAGCTACATCGTATACCATCAAATTCCAGTGTACACTTCAGATAGCTTCACACTACTGAGGATCATTTCTTTTATTAGCTTATGATGAATTTTAGCTCATGGACACCAAACATTTCAACATAACATGGTTGCAAGGGATTCTTTAACAGTACTAAAGGGATATATTTTGCCTTCCTTTGAAAAAATGTTGCTCTTGTACATTGGTATAAACACGTGTATGTGCTGGCTGATTGGAAAAAGTGATATGCTTTAAATAGGGGAAAACCTCTCATCAATCATGTATATAGATTTCTTTCACAACCTTTTAGAAGCATAACCCACTTTTTTTTGTACAAATCCTATGCAATTTTGTGGCATGTTGTTTCTTTCACTTGTAATTTATGTGCTTTCATCACAGATTCAAATAAAATTTCTTAATGCTGTCTGTATCTTCTTCCTTAATTGCATTTGTAATTTGTGTGCTTTCATTGCAGAGCCAAATAATATTTCTTCACACTATGTGTTCTCTCTCTTCTGAGCATACTGGTGTTTTCTTACAGGTTACAACTGCGAGGAAAGCGTCTGGTGTATTCCAGAGTGCCCTCTCAGTTTGACAGGGCATAGCATATGACCAAAGGCCTGGTTCACTCCTCCTCATGAACATGATGGTTTGCTTGCATTGGAGGAGGCAACATGGAGCCCCGCACAGGCTGTTGGACCACAGTTCCATCACCACTGGCTACGTTCAGCAGGTCTTAAGGAAGCTGCAGCTCAACAACATGTAGAGCACTAAATGTTCCCCATCCCAAACCTATAGCACGGACCTGCACTTTCCATTCGACATATAGGCACCCTGACAATTCCTGGGGGATTAAGGAGTTGCTAAGTGTGCAAAGTTGATAATGGGAGGGATTACCTGGAAGTTCAAAAAAAACCACCTGATTTCAGTTTCAGCTACATATGGTGTGTGGAGAGGAAGCCACATACTCGCATGGGGTTCCCTTTTGAAAGCTTGAACCCATCTGGCTTTCTGAGGCTTAGGCTTCCCACTGTGTAATGAAGGGAAAGAAGGGGAAGCCTGGATTGTGTGGGGTATGGGGTGGGCACCGCTACTGATGTGTGTGAAGAGGTCCAAGGAGAAAGGGGAGCCTCTTAAGTTCCCAATTGCTGCCAATGGGCCAGATCTTCCTAGACTTTTTGGTTGCTGGATTGAAAATTTGATATTTCTCCACAACCAAATTGGGGAAGCTCCCCAAAAATAGACCTGGTATCCACCAAAATTCAGATACCAAAAACAGAACAGGGTTTAACCAAATTCCACAGCCTTACTGTTTAAGGTGGAGCCCCTGGTGGCGCAGTGGGTTAAACCCCGGTGCCAGCAGGACTGAAGACCGACAGGTCGCAGGTTTGAATCTGGGGAGAGGTGGATGAGCTCCCTCTATCACCTCCAGCTCCTCATGCAGGGACATGAGAGAAGCATCTCACAAGGATGATAAAAACATCAAAATCAACGTCCTCGCAGATGGCCAATTCTCTCACACCAGAAGTGACTTGCTCCTGACATGACAAAAAAAAACTGTTTAAGGCAGGGGTCTTCAAACTTTTAAACAGAGGGCCAGGTCACAGTCCTGTAAACTGTTGGAGGGCTGGATTATAATTTGGAAAAAAGATGAATTCTTATGCACACTGCACATATCTTATTTGTAGTGCAAAAAACACATATAAACAACACAATAATTAAAATGAAGAACAATTTTAACAAATATGAACTCATTATTATTTCAAAGGGAAGTGTGGGCCTGCTTCTGGCTGATGAGACAGGATTGTCATTGTTGGTGTTGTGTGCTTTCAAGTCATTTCGGACTTAGGTTGACCCTGAGCGAGGGCCAGGTAAATGACCATGGAGGGCCGTATCTGTCCCCAGGGCCTTAGTTTGAGGACCCCTGCTTTAAGGTATCCCAAGAGTAAGATCTCACCAGCCATCGTGATATTTAACTGTTGTGTTTGGAGAACTGGAGGACTTCAAAGTAATAATGCAGGTTCATTAGATGCTGTAAGGAAGCATGGTTATTGTTCTGAGTTCTTTCTCTGTGCAAGGCTATGGGGCAAGTGCTAGACCCACAATCGAAAACCTGGAATTCTGTATCCATACCTAATCCAGGACTTTCTAACAAAGTTGGCCTGGAGCAAGAGGTAGACATGCCACAAACATTACAATATTTTAACCATTAAAGATGCCTCTTTCAGACCTATAATATGTATATGTATATGTATATGTGTATGTATGTATTATCCTTGGGTATGGGACCCAAAACAGGTAGAGCTGTGATTCTAAAGGGGAACAGTGCTTCTGAAGCTATCTGTTTAGCTGGGGTGGGGGAGCAGGGATTTCTCCCCTATTGTGATGGAACAGCATCATATTTGTCACAATTGACTGCAATTATTTCTCTGTTTCCTGGGCCTCACTACTATCCTGTTTAAAGCCAGTTAGGTGCTCAGATGAAGACATCTAGAGTCCATAGGAACTAGAAGAGAAAGCCAGCCCAGTCTAAAGGCTTACACACAAAATCCAAGCTTTAAAGAGAAAAGGCAGTCCTGATCAAAACCTAGAGTTTAGAAGGGAAATTCCAGAAAGAAATAGTCCAAAACAGTTAGGAAAATAGAGATATCAGAGCTGTAAGGAGCTTTGGGAGCGACTGCTTTGCAGTAACAGAATAGCTTGGGCTGAGCTTAGGGTTAATCAACCCAGCTGGACTTGTTAGCTCAGTATCTTGTGTTTTAGTTGGAATAGGCAAAGCCTGGCCTTTTCCTCTCTCACACAGAGTATGGGGTGCCTCTGCCTCTTCTGCTTTTCAACTGGGGCGGAGCAGGCATTGCTTCTACTAATGCCATGGCAAGACTGCCAGCTCCAACTCAGCCTGATATCCTTGTTCTCCTCTTCCTCTTCTTCAACTGAGGAGACCTTCTCCAGGTAGGATATGACAACTCTAGGTCAGTGGCCAATAGTTTGCTTGTTGGCATTGGTACATGGACTATCACTTTGGAGAAGCACAGCAGTAGAGAAAAAGATATAATATCTTGGTGCAAGATACAGGTAGTCTCCAAGTTACAAAAAAGGTTCTGTAGGTTTGTTCTTAAGTTGAATTTGTATGTAGGTTGTAACAGGTACATTTTTAAATGTAACTCCAGCTTATATATATATAGCTTTGAGTAGCGTCGGGAAGGGTTTACATCCCTGTGGTCCTTGTTTTCTGCCTGTGCACTGTTCAGAAGATTTCGCCTCAGTGAAGGCATTGGTTTTACATGTTTTCATGGTTTCCAATGTATGTTTTTATTAATGGTTTGAACGTTTTATATTTTATACTGTATATGGTTATGGTATCGAAGAGCTGCCTATGTTGTAAGGCTGCCTTGAGTCACCTTTGGGGTTGAGAAAGGCAGGATAGAAATATTATAAATAAATAAAATAATTTTTTTTGTCCTTGTGATATTTGAATTTTGAAAAAAAAAAATGGTTTGTTGTGAAAACAAGAATTGGTGAGATGCATTTTCCCCATGATAACGCTTCCAAGAGTAAATTTCCCTTCTGAGAGGTAGGTTTCTCTCACTTTCTGTTGTCTTGCCCCAATTTCTAACAATGAGTCATTTGTAAGTCATATGTTTGTAACTCAAGAACTGCCTGTATTTATTTCTCCTTCATTACATCAGACCAGCTTTCTCAGATAATTCTGGGTGGTGTGGAGGGGGCAAAAACAGCCTCATAGTCAACTCAAGAAGGCTATTGACTACATATTTAGTGTGGTACCAATTGGATTTTTTAAAAAAAAATTGTTTGACTGCTTTACCTTGATATTTATAAATCATCATAAATTGTTTCACTAAGAAGATGATAAAGATAATAAATAAAATAAGTTTAAATATGAGCCACATGAGTTCTTGGTTGAGTGGGCATCTCTAATAAATAATTTTATTTACTCAATTCCTGCCAGTTCAACTACAAGTTGATTTGCAATTCTTCCCTTGTGGGTGTGTTTGGTGTCTGTACGTGTGCAATCCACTATGTCTGACAATCAGCAACTCACAGAAGAAAGCAAAATTATTATTTCTATTCTGTTGTGCTAGAGCTGTCAAGGGTAATTTTGAAATATCAATGTGTCTGCCTTTATTTGTGGAGTGAATGGAGTGGAGGGGTGCACTGTATGCATTACTTTTAATTTTAATAAATCATGTGTCAGGTCTTCCACTGGGTCTACAATACATGGCTCAGTTGCACTTGACAAGCAATGTCATCGAGTGATCTTTCCGATATATTTGGTCCCAATCTTCAAGAAGGGAAAAAAGGATGACCCAAACAACTACTGTCCGGTCAGCCTCACGTCGATACCGGCAAGATTCTGGAAAAGATTGTTAAGGAAGCGGTCTGCAAACACTTAGAAACAAATGCAGTCATCGCTAATAGTCAACATAGATTTATCAAAAACAAGTCATGCCAGACTAATCTGATCTCTTTCTTCGATAGAGCTACAAGCTGGGTAGATGCGGGGAATGCCGTGGATGTAGCGTACCTGGATTTCAGTAAGGCCTTCGACAAGGTCCCCCATGACCTTCTGGCAAGGAAACTAGTCCAATGTGGGCTAGGCAAAACTACGGTGAGGTGGATCTGTAATTGGTTAAGTGGACGAACACAGAGAGTGCTCACTAATGCTTCCTCTTCATCTTGGAAAGAAGTGACAAGTGGAGTGCCGCAGGGTTCCGTCCTGGGCCCGGTCCTGTTCAACACCTTTATTAATGACTTAGATGAAGGGCTAGAAGGCATGATCATCAAGTTTGCAGACGACACCAAATTGGGAGGGATAGCCAATACTCCAGAGGACAGGAGCAGAATTCAAAACGATCTTGACAGATTAGAGAGATGGGCCAAAACTAACAAAATGAAGTTCAACAGTGACAAATGCAAGATACTCCACTTTGGCAGAAAAAAATGAAATGCAAAGATACAGAATGGGTGACGCCTGGATCGAGAGCAGTACGTGTGAAAAAGATCTTGGAGTCCTCGTGGACAACAAGTTAAACATGAGCCAACAATGTGATGTGGCGGCAAAAAAAGCCAATGGGATTTTGGCCTGCATCAATAGGAGCATAGTGTCTAGATCTAGGGAAGTAATGCTACCCCTCTATTTTGCTTTGGTTAGACCACACCTGGAATATTGTGTCCAATTCTGGGCACCACAATTCAAGAGAGATATTGACAAGCTGGAATGTGTCCAGAGGAGGGCGACTAAAATGATCAAGGGTCTGGAGAACAAGCCTTATGAGGAGCGGCTTAGGGAACTGGGCATGTTTAGCCTGAAGAAGAGAAGGCTGAGAGGAGATATGATAGCCATGTATAAATATGTGAGAGGAAGCCACAGGGAGGAGGGAGCAAGCTTGTTTTCTGCTTCCT